AGAGAAATGGGGCCTCAGTTTAGCCCAAAAGACAGCATATCCAACAGTGCTAACTTCTACCAACTTCCCAATACAACGTATCATACTCTGACATTTCTGCCACCTACAATCAGACACCACCACCAAAAAGATATTTCCCTCTGCTTTCCACAGGGACCATTCACTCCATGACTCCCTCGTCAGCTCCACACTTCCCACCAACTCCTCTACCACACGTGGCACCTTTCCCTGCAACTGCAGGAGGTGTTACACCAGCCCCCATGCCTCTCCTCTCACCTCTGCCTGAGGCCCCAAACAATCCTTCCAAATCCAGCAGAGATTCACCTACACTTCATCCAATCTCATCTACTGTATCGGTTGCTCCCGAGGTGGTCTCCTCTATAATCGGGAGACCAAACGCAGACTCAGGAACCGGATTGCGGAGCATCTGCGCTCTGCACGTGCCAACCAACCTGACCTTCTGGTTGCCATCCACTTTAACTCCCCCTCCCACTCCCCTGGTGACATGTCCATCTTTGACAGCGGAGGAGAGCAGAGTGAGGCCAAACATAAACTGGTACAACACTTCATATTTGGCCTTGGGAGCTTACAGCCCAATGGCCTGTTGACTTTACCAGCTTCAAAATCTCTCTTCCCACATTCCATCTTCTGACTCACCTATCCACTTCACCTTCCCACTGACCAACCACAATAATCCCCTACCTGCATCCGTCTATCTCCATCTCACCTACCCTCCCCATATCCCCATCCTCCTCCTATTTATTTCTGGGGTACCCTCCCCCTCCCCAGTCCTGATGAAGGGTTTCAGACTGAAAAGTTGACATTCCTGCTCCTCAGATGCTGTCTGACCTACTGTGCTTTTCCAGCTCCATCTGTATTAGGTCTAGCTTCCAGCTTCTGCAGTCCTTACTGTCTCCAAACGGATGGGTTGATCCCAGCTCTCACAATTCCAGTGAGCTCCGGATATATGTTTCCAGTGTTTCAGTGGGAGATCTACCGGATCAGACTCTCCATATTGCCACCACAGTGTGCTTTGATGGACAGAAAGGCACTGAGTAGTCCCCAGCCATTTCACAGATGGAAGTCAGCAGCAAATTCCAAGTGAACAGGAAATCACTCGTTGGAAAATGAGCAAGTTCCATCGAATTCACTACCTATCATCCTGGTCGTTGTGCGTGACAATGGAACTGTTGACTAAAGACAGTAATTAACCTCGATCAATTAGTCTGCAACAGACCCAGACACAAGGTGAAAAAAACCCCAGTTTGGAAACTCACATTCTCCTGTCTTTTACTGTCTCATCACAGCCAAGGAAGAGAGGCCACATGCTTCATGCTCCACTTCTTCCAGCTGAATATATTTCTGATCTGGCATAAATACAAACAACCCTGAACTTTGAATCCATTCCACGAGTTCTGGATCATCCACTCAAGTAAAACAGGTCTGCAATTTCCACCTCACACCCAGGACATCACTCAGAATCTTACTGTCCTCCCATGACATTTTGCTATTCTCTTTAGGCTACAGTCTGACTCTGGATAAATATATGTTGATTTGCAATGCTTCCCAAAATGCTGGATTAGGATCACAGCAGTCTCAATAACAAACTGTCTCATGCTGTCATATACATAGGCATTTTAAAAAAATCTTTTTTTTAAACTGGTCAAAGGAATCAAGATGTTTCATCACTTTCTACTCTCAGTTATGTATAAAAGCCTTTGGAACACTTTAATTGTTACCCCTGCAATTAGATCTATGCTTTACTTTGCCTTCAAATTGTACAAATCTTTGGCACAGTCATCTTTCATATTTATTTGTATGTTTCACGCAGACACAAAGGAGCAAATGGTTTCCTTCTGCTATGCAACAATTCTGTGATTCTACTTCCCTTTGAAGAATTTACAGAGAGCCAGTAAGCCTTCTTTTTAAAGAAAGGCCACGCACTTCCTCAATTGCAATACTCAAATGTCCTGCAGTCAGCCATCAAAAACTCCTTTTAAAAAATGGTACTCAGTAACATGAATGAGGCCAGCAACACTAAGTTTTCTAACTATCTCTTAATTTTTCTGTAAAGAGAACAAGACATTATGTTGTACAGGCCATTGGTGAAGCCTCTTCTGGAGTACATGTCCAGTTCTGGTCATCCTGTTTTAGGAAGGATCTTATTAAACTCTAGAGGGTTCAGAAGTTATTAGGATGTTGCAGGGAATGGAGGTTTGAGTTATAGAGAGCAGCTGATAGGCTGGCACTTTATTCACTGGAGCGTAGGAGGTTGAAAGGTGATGTTGTAGAGGTTTATAAAATCATGAGGGGTATAGATAAGGTGAACGGCAGGTGTCTTTTCCCTAGGGTGGGGGCTTTCAAGACCGGGGGCAGTTTTTAAAGTGAGAGGAGAAAAATTTAAAAAAGACTTGGGGGTAAGTTTTTTACACAAGAGAGTGGTTCTTGTGTGGAATGAACTTCCAGAGGAAATGTTGGTTGAGGGGTACAGTTATAACATTTAAAAGACACGGTGGCTCAGTGGTTAGCACTGCTGCCTTACAGCGCCAGGGACCTGAGTTTGATTCCACCCTCGGGCGACTGTCTGTGTGGAGTTTGCACATTCTCCCCGTGTCTGTGTTCGTTTCCTCCGGGTGCTCTGGTTTCCTCCCATAGTCCAAAGATGTGCAGGCTAGGTGGATTGGCCATGCTAAATTGTCCCATAGTGTTCAGGGATGTGTAGGTTAGGTGGATTATAGGGGGATGGGTCTGGATGAGATGCTCTGAGAGTCAGTGTGGGCTAGTTGGACTGAAGGGCCTGTTTTCACGCTGTAAGGATTCTATGACATTTGGATAAGTACAAGAATAGGAAAGGTTTGAAGGGATATGGGCCAAAAGTGCAGGCAGGTGGGACTAGTTCAGTCTGGGATTATGGATGAGTTGGACCAAAGGGTTTGTTTCCATGCTGTATGACTTTATAAGAGGGTAGAGGCAATCTTATTCACACCAATTGTTCATTAGGCAGAATGGCTTGTAAGATGACTTCTGATGCCTAGAGAGTGAGTGTTGACTAATCACACATATATTCGACCAGTAGATGCAACAGGTTCCCATTCTTACAGGATACTAGCTAACTAGTTGGATTTTGATGACTATCAACTATTCAGCTGTTTCTTCTACTGATTGAGCACGAGCAGCAGATATATTGAACTCAATTTTACAACTTGTCACAGTGAGGTACCCACACTTTATTACCTCCAGCTCTGACACTTCAATTTCAAATATGTGCTACATCTTCTGCCATCAAGCCAAAGCTGATCTGGTAAACGTCTGCACTCACTGCACTACTTCCTGCTCGATAGTCAATTTTCCATGAATGCAGTCAAGAAGAGTTAGTGAGTAGGAAAGTCACACACTAGCCTTCAGATGAATGATTTCCACCCAGTCATACATATCTGTTACCCAGCTGGGTGCTCTCAAATATTTTAACAGCAGTAAGGACTCTATCTGAGTGTCAGTTGTTATCACATTTGATCAACCAAAAATTCCCAGGATTTGTAGCTAATGATTGTAAAGGATTGTGGGATAGGAAACGGGGACATAAATAAATCCCTTTTTACTTTGGAGGCCGGATGTGGGGGCAGAAGAAAAAATGGTTTACACTAATAGGGTGAGAAGGAGAGAGGGAAGGTTTGTGTGCTACACCAGATGGGCGGAATGGCCTGTTTCTGTTTTTTTTACGTTTAATGCAGGAGCACATGGTCCTGACAATGTACAGAAATGAGAGAGAGGGGGAAAAAAGTGTTCAATTCTCCAACCTTCACTCTGACAATTACGGAATTTACGCATAGTTGTCGAGGGTGCAATGAATGGTATAATTAGCTGCAGACAGACGCAACGATCATGAATCGACTGGAACTTGTAACATTAGAATAACTAAACACAGAATTCTAAAATAAATATAACTAGAAATATAAATAAATACACTAGACCTCAAATGAAAATAACACGTTCAAACCATGTGTTATTTGTAAACGTCTTGTTCTGAAATGCATACCATCATGAGACTAGAGGGGCGAAATTCCAAGTCACAGACGACCTCCATACCCTGGCCACAACCAGATGTAATTTCATTGAAACTGCAGAGGATTTCTCGCAGCCACTAGGTGGTAGCATTAACACCGAGAACCCAGCAGCTCCAGAGCCAGCAAAAAGCTGCTGCTAGTGCCCCTCCATATGGACTTCATATTTCAGGATATTTCTAGACGATCTGGAGCCATCCTTTATAACTTGAAGGAAGCAGATTGTGCGCTTGTCTGCCACTGTTTTCCATTTACACCCGATGAATTTGGCTCCGGTCCAAGCATGAGCCGCGCAGATTTTTTTTTCATGAGGGTCTGAAATGATTTGTTAACAAAATTCTTGGAGAGAAGAGATTTTGAGAGAGGGGGAGTTCTCTCTTGAATCTCACGCTGATCTAAATTTATATTCGCACTTAAAACATCATTAGGGACCACACGAGTATTTTGGGGAACATGATTTGAAAGTAACACAAGGAGTATGTTACAATTGTAATGGAGTCGGTGTCATTCTTAGCAATATTGAAAGGGATGTGGAGATGCAAATTTCACAGACCACAAACTTTCGCCCCGAATATAGACCCAGGTTGGCATTTGTGTGGGTGTCCCTCACGATCCTATTTGCAAGATGAAACTAAAAATAAAACATTATAACAAACACGACAAAAACATGCAACATTGTTTGGAATATATTTTAAACTCAGTAGCAATTTTCTGCGACTTTTCACCTGCTGAGGTTAAAAAGAGGACCCTAATTCGTTCAAAATAAAAGACGAGGTCACCTGCAGAGCTGGCCACGAAGAGGCTGCAGGGAGAGGTGCTCTGTGCAGTCGGAGCTGTAGCTCAGTCAGTTTCTGGGAATGTCTCTACACTGAGTCAGTCTCCTCTAATGCAAAACAGCAGACGCTCGAACTGATAAACAATCAACCGTTAAAATGTTACCTTTTTGTTTGGTGTTCCGTCTGGGGGACAGCGACCGTTACAATGAGTCACTTCCATGGAATAAAATGTTGGGAGTGAACTTTGTTTCTACAACTTTAGTGCAACTGGTAAGGGATTAAATCACTCAAAAGCTGGTGAGTTATTGACTAACAGTGTAGTACACACATTCTGCACAATTCACATTTACCCTGTAACTCGTAATAACTGACTTCAATCGTGTTTCAGTTTGTTTTGCAAATCAACTTAAATGCGATCCAGTTCGAGATTCGGTCGTTTGCTGCTGTTATGTTCATTTAATCTGGATTTTCAGATACATTTGACTTGGAAAATGAACTCATGGATACATGGAGAAATGCTGAGGAGCCGATTAAACGGGATGATTGAGGTTTATGGCGGGGGTGCTCTGTTTTGAAATTCTCAACTCGCCCCGGAGGGGGAACATTAACATTGTAGTGGGGGCAGTGGGTAGAACAGTTCAAAGTGCCCTGCCTGGATTGACTCGGTTCTGGTTTAAAGCGAGTGGCTCTGGTGGCGCCAGCTTCGCTGAAGCCCAGCTTGGGAGCAGATAGTCAAACTGATGGCACAGGGCTTCAGAGGCAGAGGTCAAGCCGCCTTTTCTGGTTCTGAGAGGCGGCAGACACTGCAAATCCTCGCTATAATCACATGCAGATGGCCAGGTACCGGCAGCAGAGACAGAAAGATTGCAGGACCCAGATAACCATCATTTCAGTGCGGCCAATTTCAGACTCCAAATGAGACAAAAGCAAGATCAGGTGAGCACATTGGCACAGACCAAACCATTTTCAGGGTTTAGTTTAAAGGAAAGGGGAAAATATGCAATATTGTAAATTAAGCATTTTTGTTTGTAAAAAAAAGGATGCTTCTAAGCCGAGTCTCAGTTGTTGCCGCAGAGATGGATATTTTAAGATTCATTCCCTCACTCAACCATGGGAGGGCTGACCATCAGCTGTCAAATTTATAAACTCTAAAATTTCTAAACCTCTACCTCTGTCTCCCATTCGTCATCCACTCCACCTGTCCGTATCTTTCTATCCTCTGTTCATCCATTCCGTCTCTTTCAACCTTCCTCAATTCATGCTCTCCACATCTTTCTATTCACCGTTATTCATCCACTCCACCTCAACCACTTTATGTCACTCCTGATTCGCCCTCTTCGGTCCAGCCTTTGGCCATTTGTTCCAATACCTTGCACACGTTGGTGTTAAACGTTATTTGACAACACTCCTCTGGAGCCCTTTGGAACAATTTACTATGTTAATGGTGCCATATAAAGGAAAATTGTTGTTTTCGCAGTAGTTGGTGATTATTCCAATGTACACATTGGATATGTGAGCAAATTTAAAAGTTTTGGCTCCTTGTTGCCTCATTTCCAAGCAACTCCAGCTGTCTTCAGCAAAGTGAAACATTTAAATAAGGATTTTAATTACTCTCAACCTAGGGATTTCCCAGCTCCAAGATCCCACTGATGTGATGACAGCTGATTGTGCTGCAGTACTAAACAGACCATAATACCCAGCAGCTTGAAGTTTGGGCAGGTCCTACAACCAGTTTCTATGGCGGGATCATGGTCCTGACTGTTTGGATGTCATAGGGTCATGGCTTGGTGTAAAACAGTCATATGGAGTTTTTATAAAGGGTATCAAGGATATAAAGGATGTGGGTGTCACTGGCAAATCCAGCATTTGTTGCCCATCCCTAATTGTTGAGAAGCTTGTGGAGAACTTATTCCTTGAGCGGTTGCAATCTGTGTGGTTTAGGCACCCAGGTCAGAAAGGGATTCCAGGATTTTGACTCAGCAACAGTGAGAGAATGGTGATATAGTTTCAAGTCAGGATGGTGTGTGCATTTTGAGTGGTGGTGTCACTGCTGCCCTTGTCTATCGAAGTGTTAGAGGTCATGGGTTTAGTAGGCACTGCGGAGAACTACTGCCATGCAACCTGAATGTAGTATACATTGCAGCCGCTATATGTTAGTGGTGGACAGTGTGAATGTTGGCATGTGGAGTGCCGATCAAACAGCTGATTTATCATGCATTGTGTCAAGGTTCTTCAATGTTATTGGGACACATATCCAGGTAACTGGAGAATATTCAATCACACTCATGACTTGTGCTTTGCCCATGGGGGACAGGCTTTGTCAAAAGGTGAGTTACTTGCTGCAGTATTCCTAGCCTGCTGTTGTCGCCATAGTATTTATACGGCCAAATAAAAACCAAAAGAAATTACCCCACCCACCTCCCTATTTTCTGCATATAAACTGACATTTTCCCAGCCACCATCAGTTCTGAGGAAGGGTCACCAGACCCGAAACGTTAACTCTGTTTTCTCCTCCACAGATGCTGCCAGACCTGCTGAGCTTTTCCAGCAACTTTGTTTTTGTTCCTGTATTTATATGGCCAGTCCAGTTCAGTCTCAGATCAGTGGTAACCCAGGATATGGATAGTGGGGGATTCGGCGATGGTAATGATATTGAGTTGATGATTAGATTGTCTCTTGTTGGAAATGGTCATTGTCTAGCACTTTTGATGGGTCATTCCAAAGCTGCATGTTGTATAGATCATGCTCATGTGGGCAAGGAGTGCTCTGAGGAGTTGTGAACAAAATAAAAAGAGAGACTTTTATCATTTCCAAACATCGCAGGGCACGTCACAGGAGAATCAACAATAAAACAGGCAGCCCTGGAAGTTACCATGAGAATGTACCCCCTCTTCCAGGAAGGAAATCATCTCCATGACTTTCACTGGTGTAGATCTGTAAAGATATTTCAATGAGTCATAATTAGCTGGAGCTTGGCAATGAATAGCACTTGATGTTAGTTCGAATACCCCTCCCATATGCAATACATGAATTCAGAGCAGGAGGAGGTCATTCAGCATTTAATAAGATCATGGCTGATTTGTTTGTAGCTTCGACTCCATTTTCTCATCCCCTGTCCACCTTTGACTCCTTTGTCGATGCAGAATCTGTTTGACATAGCCTTCAAAAATATTTGGTGTCTCCACTTCGACAGTACTCTTGTGAGGAGAATATCACAATCTAACAACCATCATTTCAAAAAAATCCCCTCCATAGTGTTCAGGTATGCGTAGATTATGTGGGTTATGAGGGATGGGTCTGGGTGGGATGCTCTGAGGGGCGGTGTGGACTTGTTGGGCCGAAGGGCCTGTTTCCACACAGCAGGGATTCTGTGGTCTATGGTTCTATGGTCATAATACAAGAGATCCCTAGTTCTAGTCTCTCCTATAAAGTGAAACCAATCCTTTCCACATCTAACCTGTCAAATCTCCTAAGGATGTGATATGTTTCAATGAAATCACCTGTCATTCTCCTAAACCCCTACAGATACAGGCTCAGTCTTTCTTCATAAGACACCTGCCTCATCCCAGGAATCATATGATGATACTATGGATTTAGTAGGTATTTTGTCTGGGTGTTTTTTTATGAAGAGAGTTTGATACAGAAGTATCGAGTGATCTGCTTGACCAGTAAAGTAAACAGTTTGTGAGGCCTTGGCTTTATATTTTAACTTTGGAACAATAGAAGCAGCCTGAATGGGTGGGCTCCAGCTCCCATGGAACCAGGATTTTTACGTTTTAGCTTTCAGTAGTTGAAACTGGATGTAGAAGTTCTTCCAGCTGGGGTTCTCTTTCAGCTGGTAGAATTACATGCGAGACAATCTATTTTACTGGATTTGCCTTTGCCAAGGCTGTGTTTATGGGCTGTTACTATATTGGAATAGTTAATTAGTAGTAGTTAATATATATATTATTTTGTTAAGCATTTCGGTAGAGTTACAGTTTAGCCAATTCTTTTTATTTTGTCGGTATTTTAAATGTAGTGTAAAAATAAAGTGTGTCTTGCTTTAAATTGGGTAGTTTGACCAATTAAATTGCATTTGGAATGCAATGCCTTACACTTACCTTTAAAATAAGAAAAAGCTAGGGTCTAGGCTATCTTCTTAATATATTTTCAGGGGGTTTGATCTAGACCATAAGAATCAATCAAGTGAACTTTCTCAGCACTGTTTCACACAACTGTAGCAAAACTTCTGTACCTGTGTATTACATTCCTCTCGTATTACATTCCATCCTGGATGAGACCACAGTGTGTGATGGTTTCAAAAGTGGTAAGCAAAATTATTAAGCTCCTTGTCGAAGAGGGATGAATTGACCCTTAATGCACCTGCTCCTCAGTTGGTTGCAAAAGGGTTAATTTGAAAAAGGATCTTTTCCCTTTTGGATGCATTTCTCATAGAACAAAATTATTTATATTTTAAAAAGTGCTAATTTAATAAGACTTTCTTGAGTTAACAAAAACATTGAATTTATTAGTTACTAAATGCAAGAAGAAGTAATTATGCAACATGCATCCAAACAGATTAGAAATGAGAAGTGACTTTTTATAGATAGATAGATTATTTGAGTAGCCAATTTTGAGATTCTTGGCTTTGCAAGTTAGCCAAAATTCTTTTATCTCTTCAGTTTTGAACTGTTTTCTAACCAGCTTCCAGCGCACAGGGCGAGTGAATCCTTTACCTGCAATGCAGGAGTGAAGAGTGGATTGTTCTTTGACTATGACTTTTATAACATAGCAATACTTAAATCCAGGCTAGCACACACAAGTATCTTCCCCACCAGCAAACACTAACACCTCAACCCATAGCACTCACAGTCAGGGTTGAAACTCGCTTTTAACTTCTTTGCCTCTCCATTTTTGAAAGGGGTAAACACAAACATCTAGCTTGCCTAGACTACTGTCCTTTGTCTCATCCTGTTCACAGTCTCAGATATACACAGATGATTACGGTTCAATTTGTAGTGCATTTCTCTCTTTGAAACTTCTTTGACACCTTTGCGTATGACTTTGCAGAGTTCCTCTCCAGACAGCTATTGGATCTACACTTACAGTCATCCTTTTGCTGTATCAGTCCTCTTTTAAGTAAATATGCTGCAATGAATAGGTTTATGACCTATGGTCATGTGGATTGACATGTGTATTGTTTTGTACGAAGCCCAGCCAAGATGCACATAGCTCTCGATGTGATTACTATCCAGCTTAAATGCATGTGCATGCAAATATAACATTTAAAAGTAAAATTCAGTGCAGTTTGTTTTTTTT